GTGTGGTGTGAATATAATACAGAGAATTCGTAGTTTGGAAGTTAGGAGGAGGTGCGGGATTGCCAAAACTGTTGTCCAGAGGGCTGAGGAAGGGTTGTTGAGGTGGTTCGGACATGTAGAGAGAATGGAGCGAAACAGAATGACTTCAAGAGTGTATCAGTCTGTAGTGGAAGGAAGGTGGGGTAGGGGTCAGCTTAGGAAAGGTTGGAGGGAGGAGGTAAAGGAGGTTTTGTGTGTGAGGGGCTTGGACTTCCAGCAGGCATGTGTGAGCATGTTTGATAGGAGTGAATGGAGACAAATGGTTTTTAATACTTGACGTGCTGTTGGAGTGTGAGCAGAGTAACATTTATAAAGGGATTTAGGGAAACCGACAGGCTGGACTTGAGTCCTGGAGATGGGAAGTACAGTGCCTGCACTCTGAAGGAGGGGTGTTAATGTTGCAGTTTAAAAACTGTAGTGTAAAGCACCCTTCTGGCAAGAGAGTGATGGAGTGAATGATGGTGAAAGTTTTTCTTTTTTTGGGCGACCCTGCCTTGGTGGGAATCGGCCAGTGTGCTAATAAAAAAAATAATAAAAATTCTTTCTAGTTCTTGTCCTTGTTTATTTCCTCTTACATCCATGGGGAAGTGGAACAGAATTCTTCCTCCGTAAGCCATGCGTGTTGTAAGAGGCGACTGAAATTTCGGGAGGAAGGGGCTAGTAACCCCTTCTCCTGTATATATTACTAAATTTAAAAAGAGAAACTTTCATTTTTCTTTTTGAGCCACCCTGCCTCGGTGGGATATGGCCGGTTTGTTGAAAAAAAAAAATTAAAGTGAGGTTAATGCTTTAGTGTTTCATGTTTTAAACAAATCCACATAAACATTCTCAGATTGACTTTGATACCTATTTGTTTCTTAAAGTTATCAATGCAATTAGTGTTTTTAATTTTTTTCTTATTGTAATTCCAGTAATCTGTATTATATCTAATATATTTTGGAGTTAATGTTTCACTTCTTCTTTGGTATTCTTGTTGGGAATACCATGTGTTATTGCATTTGTATATGTTTTATTCCACTTACAGTACAATTTTATTTTTTTATCACACTGGCCGATTCCCATCAAGGCAGGGTGGCCCGAAAAAGAAGAACTTTCACCATCATTCACTCCATCACTGTCTTGCCAGAAGGGTGCTTTACACTACAGTTTTTAAACTGCAACATTAACACCCCTCCTTCAGAGTGCAGGCACTGTACTTCCCATCTCCAGGATTCAAGTCCGGCCTGCCGGTTTCCCTGAACCCCTTCATAAATGTTACTTTGCTCACACTCCAACAGCATGTCAAGTATTAAAAATCATTTGTCTCCATTCACTCCTATCAAACACGCTCACGCATGCCTGCTGGAAGTCCAAGCCCCTCGTACACAAAACCTCCTTTACCCCCTCCCTCCAACCTTTCCTAGGCCGACCCCTACCCCGCCTTCCTTCCACTACAGACTGATACACTCTTGAAGTCACACTGTTTCGCTCCATTCTCTCTACATGTCCAAACCACCTCAACAACCCTTCCTCAGCCCTCTGGACAACAGTTTTGGTAATCCCGCACCTCCTCCTAACGTCCAAACTACGAATTCTCTGCATTATATTCACACCACACATTGCCCTCAGACATGACATCTCCACTGCCTCCAGCCTTCTCCTCGCTGCAACATTCATCACCCATGCTTCACACCCATATAAGAGCGTTGGTAAAACTATGCTCTCATACATTCCCATCTTTGCCTCCAAGGATTAAGTTCTTTGTCTCCACAGACTCCTAAGTGCACCGCTCACCCTTTTCCCCTCATCAATTCTATGATTCACCTCATCTTTCATAGACCCATCCGCTGACACGTCCACTCCCAAATATCTGAATACATTCACTTCCTCCATACTCTCTCCCTCCAATCTGATATCCAATCTTTCATCACCTAATCTTTTTGTTATCCTCATAACCTTACTCTTTCCTGTATTCACTTTTAATTTTCTTCTTTTGCACACCCTACCAAATTCATCCACCAATTTCTGCAACTTCTCTTCAGAATCTCCCAAGAGCACAGTGTCATCAGCAAAGAGCAACTGTGACAACTCCCACTTTATGTGTGATTCTTTATCTTTTAACTCCATGCCTCTTGCCAAGACCCTCGCATTTACTTCTCTTACATCCCCATCTATAAATATATTAAACAACCATGGTGACATCACACATCCTTGTCTAAGGCCTACTTTTACTGGGAAATAATTTCCCTCTTTCCTACATACTCTAACTTGAGCCTCACTATCCTCGTAAAAACTCTTCACTGCTTTCAGTAACCTACCTCCTACACCATACACCTGCAACATCTGCCACATTGCCCCCTATCCACCTGTCATACGCCTTTTCCAAATCCATAAATGCCACAAAGACCTCTTTAGCCTTATCTAAATACTGTTCACTTATATGTTTCACTGTAAACACCTGGTCCACACGCCCCCTACCTTTCCTAAAGCCTCCTTGTTCATCTGCTATCCTATTCTCCATCTTACTCTTAATTCTTTCAATAATAACTCTACCATACACTTTACCAGGTATACTCAACAGACTTATCCCCCTATAATTTTTGCACTCTCTTTTGTCCCGTTTGCCTTTATACAAAGGAACTATGCATGCTCTCTGCCAATCCCTAGATACCTTACCCTCTTCCATACATTTATTAAATAATTGCAAACCCAAACCCCTCCAAAACTATATCCCCACCTGCTTTTAACATTTCTATCTTTATCCCATCAATCCCGGCTGCCTTACCCCCTTTCATTTTACCTACTGCCTCATGAACTTCCCCCACACTCACAACTGGCTCTTCCTCACTCCTACAAGATGTTATTCCTCCTTGCCCTATACACGAAATCACAGCTTCCCTATCTTCATCAACATTTAACAATTCCTCAAAATATTCCCTCCATCTTCCCAATACCTCTAACTCTCCATTTAATAACTCTCCTCTCCTATTTTTAACTGACAAATTCATTTGTTCTCTAGGCTTCCTTAACTTGTTAATCTCACTCCAAAACTTTTTCTTATTTTCAACAAAATTTGTTGATAACATCTCACCCACTCTCTCATTTGTCTCTTTTTACATTGCTTCACCACTCTCTTAACCTCTCTCTTTTTCTCCATATACTCTTCCCTCCTTGCATCACTTCTACTTTGTAAAAACTTCTCATATGCTAACTTTTTCTCCCTTACTACTCTCTTTACATCATCATTCCACCAATCGCTCCTCTTCCCTCCCGCACCACTTTCCTGTAACCACAAACTTCTGCTGAACACTCTAACACTGCATTTTTAAACCTACCCCATACCTCTTCGACCCCATTGCCTATGCTCTCATTAGCCCATCTATCCTCCAATAGCTGTTTATATCTTACCCTAACTGCCTCCTCTTTTAGTTTATAAACCTTCACCTCTCTCTTCCCTGATGCTTCTATTCTCCTTGTTTCCCATCTACCTTTTACTCTCAGTGTAGCTACAACTAGAAAGTGATCTGATATATCTGTGGCCCCTCTATAAACATGTACATCCTGAAGTCTACTCAACAGTCTTTTATCTACCAATACATAATCCAACAAACTACTGTCATTTCGCCTTACATCATATCTTGTATACTTATTTACCCTCATTTTCTTAAAATATGTATTACCTATAACTAAACCCCTTTCTATACAAAGTTCAATCAAAGGGCTCCCATTATCATTTACACCTGGCACCCCAAACTTACCTACCACACCCTCTCTAATATCTTTAGCATTCAGATCCCCTACCACAATTACTCTCTCACTTGGTTCAAAGGCTCCTATGCATTCACTTAACATCTCCCAAAATCTCTCTCTCTCCTCTACATTCCTCTCTTCTCCAGGTGTATACACGCTTATTATGACCCACTTTTTGCATCCAACCTTTACTTTAATCCACATAATTCTTGAATTTACACATTCATATTCTCTTTTCTCCTTCCATAACTGATCCTTCAACATTACTGCTACCCCTTCCTTTGCTCTAACTCTCTCAGATACTCCAGATTTAATCCCATTTATTTCCCCCCACCGAAACTCCCCTACCCCCTTCAGCTTTGTTTCGCTTAGGGCCAGGACATCCAACTTCTTTTCATTCATAACATCAGCAATCATCTGTTCTTGTCATCCGCACTACATCCACGCACATTCAAGCATCCCAGTTTTACAAAGTTTTTCTTCTTCTCTTTTTTAGTAAATGTCTACAGGAGAAGGGGTTACTAGCCCATTGCTCCCGGCATTTTAGTCTCCTCATACGACACGCATGGCTTACGGAGGAAAGATTCTTTTCCACTTCCCCATGGACAATAGAAGAAATAAAGAAGAACAAAAGCTATTTAGAAAAAGGAGAAAAACCTAGATGTATGTATATATATATATATATATGCATGTGCGTGTCTGTGAAGTGTGACCAAAGTGTAAGTACCAGTAGCAAGATATCCCTGTTATCTAGCATGTTTGTGAGACAGAAAAAGAAACCAGCAATCCTACCATCATGCAAAACAGTTACAGGTTTCTGTTTCACAGTCATCTGGCAGGACGGTAGTACTTCCCTGGGTGGTTGCTGCCTACCAACCTACTACCTACAGTACATATCTGGACATAATTTGTGAATGTTTTATTGGTTCTGCATAAAAAGGGAAACACTAAATTGCTTCTGGCTATTTTGAGGACAAATTAGCCATTTTGCATAAAACATGGTGCAGTATGTACCCATATTCCTTATTAGCAGGCAATGTAGTGAGCAGTATCACTAAAATGTTTACATATTTCAACCTGCTTAATGCTATTCTCTGCTGAAAGTATTATATAACTCTTATGTATTGAATATTGACTTTCCTTCCTACTTCTTTACATGTGTATATTTGCTTTTGTTCTGGAAGATAATACTAATACCAATTATTTTTAATGGAAATTCTTTTCTTCTACAGCTACATGAAGGAGATGAAATAGATGTAATTAAGGCACCATGTGACCTAAATCCAAATTTGTTGAACATTTCTCGTGTTGTCATTTTAAAGGTAGGGAAGTATGACGAAGATTCCGATAAGGTAATGGTTATACTTCGTAAATATTCACAGCTATTAGTTGAAATGTATCACGATTATAAAACTGGAGATGATTAAGTATGAGTTCCTTTGACATTTTTGCAGTTATTAATACCTCCCGTTTGGTTTTTGTTTCCCAAGACTACTAAAAAAATTATACTGGTATATTTTATATAATCTTACTTAGTACTGGAGGCTCAGAATATGGAAAAGTCAATCTCCATCATGAAATAGAGTTTGTTGTATATTTACAGCAACATTGCAAGTTGTATAAAGATTCTGAATTACTGTATAGGTATTATTATTTTATAAAACATTGTATATGCATTATAATAAACACTTGTTACTGCAGTTTAGATTGTTTCATTACCATACTGAGGGTTAAATATAGAAGATATAAAACAGAAAACATAGGCTCAGCATTGTAGATGTCATTTATATTCATATCCACTGTTGATGGTTTAGTACCTATTACACACATTCCCCCACACACTAACTCACACAGGTATTAAAAATAGTTCTCTACCTCAAAGATGAACAGTTGCCATATGTTGATTAAACTCACCTGGAATACTTCTGTCTTTTCAACCTTTGTTCCCTTTTCAGGTATATCACCTCAGATTTCAACCACCTCTCCTGCCTCACTGTCTGCCCAATGTATTCCTGTTCATTTGAAGAGTAATTCTGTGCCTCAGGAGTCTAACATCTCTGAGTTGACTGAAATTCTCACTTGAAATCTACCTGTTCATTTGCTCAATCTGCCATCTTGCCTTGTTATTCCTGCATAAATGACCTTCCTCAGCAACCAACCCTATTAGTGCTTCACCTATCCCATGCCCAACACTGCTTTTCTTTGCTGATGATGTTTAGACAATTTAACACACAACTGCATATTTCAAAACCTACACTTGTCCTTCATCAGGGCTCTTGAGAAGCTTTAAGTACTGGGTAGTCTCTCAAATGCAGACAGTTTCCCGAGAGCTTCCTTGACAATAGTTCTAAGCCTCAACAAAAACTGAATATGCAGTCCATTCTTACACCAAGAGGTAAATGCTCAGACTTGAAAGTTTTGTTTTTCATCATCCACCTCATTGCCAGAAGTATCATGGTCTTTTTTTTTAATTTGCTTATTCATGGTTAAATATATTTTTATAGGTTTATATAATGTAATATAACATAAAATAAAGGGTAATGTGTAATTGAATAAAAAAAATCTAAATTTTTATTTCTTTGTGTAGTATACAAACTGTAGTCTATATGTAATAAAGTATTGTTCAAGACAAGGAAGGCAACTAGCATGCTTGAGCATTTCTGGCAGAATGTTGATCTTTGGCATATTTTGGAGATAAATTGTAGTTTATTATGTCCAATATTAAGTTGGTTCTGCCACAGAGATAGTTGTTTGTTGTTCAGTTGGGAAGGAAAAAATCTAATGATACTGTACTTGATATAACCTATTGCATCCCGGCATAGCAGAGCTTCGCTTGCTCTCTTATCTGCAGCACTGGAATTGGCATGTCTTTGTTTACATTCACTATGATTGGCTGAGTCAGTTACAAACTGCTGACAGGTATGCTGTGGCACTCAAGCCTATTTTTTTTTTCCGACAAACTGGCTGTATCCCACCGAAGCAGGGTGAAACAATAAGAAAAACAAAAGTTTTTTTAAATTTAGTAATTATACAGGAGAAAGGGGTTACTAGCACCTTGCTCCCAGCATTTTAGTCATCTCTTAAGACAAATGGCTTTTGGAGGAAGAATTCTTGTTTACTTTCTAATGGAGAAAACAGTAAATAAAGAACAAGAACTATTAAGAAAATAGAAGAAAACCCAGATGGGTGTACTCACATAGTTGTGGTTGCAAGGGTCAGGTCACAGCTCCTGGCCCTGCCTCTTTACTGGTCACTGCCAGGTCACTCTTCCTGCTCCATGAGCTTTAGCATACCTCTTCTTAAAGCTATGTATGGATCCTGCCTCCACTACATCACTTCCCAGACTATTCCACTTCCTAATAACTCTGTGACTGAAGAAATACTTCCTAACATTCCTGTGATTTATCTGAATCTTCAACTTCCAACTGTGACCCCTTGTTGCCATGTCCCATCTCTGGAACATCCTGTCTCTGTCCACCTTGTTTATTCCTCTCAGTATTTTATATGTCATTATCATATCCCCCCTATCTCTCCTGTCTTCCAGTGTCATCAGGTCAATTTCCCTTAACTTTTCCTTGTAGGACATACCCCTTAGCTCTGGGACTAGTCTTGTTGAAAACCTTTGCACTTTCTCTAGTTTTCTTACATGCTTGCCTTGGTGTGGGTTCCAAACTGGTGCTGCATACTCCAATGTGGGCCTAATGTACACCGTGTACAGGATCCTGAATGATTCCTTATTAAGATGTCGGAATGCTGTTCTTAGATTTGCTAGGTGCCCATATGCTGCAGCAGTTATTTGGTTGATGTACGCCTCAGATGTGCCCAGTGTTATACTCACCCCCAAGATCCTTTTCCTTGAGTGAGGTTTGTAGTCTCTGGCCCCCTAGACTGTACTCTGTCTGTGGTCTTCTTTGCCCTTCCCCAATCTTCATGACTTTGCACTTGGTGGGGTTGAATCCCAGGAGCCAGTTGCCAGACCAGGCCTGCAGCCTGTCCAGATTCCTTTGTAGTTCTGCCTGGTCCTCATCCGATTAAATTCTTCTCATCAACTTCACATCATCTGCAAACAGGGACACTTCTGAGTCTATTCCTTCCATTGTGTCATTCACAAATACCAGAAACAGCACCAGTCCTAAGACTAACCCCTGTTATCCCTGCCTGGTCCTCCAGCTTTTGCACTAATCTCTTGTGTGGAACTGTGTCAAATGCCTTCTTACAGTCCAAGAAAATGCAATCTACCCACCCCTCTCTCTCTCGTCTTACTGCTGTCACTCTGTCATAGAACTCCAGTAGGTTTGTGACACAGGATTTCCCATCCTTGAAACAATGCCAGCTGTCGCTGATAAGCTCATTCCTTTCTAGGTGCTCCAACACTTCTCCTGATAATCTTCTCCATGACTTTGCATACTATACATGTCAGTGACACTGGTCTAGTTTAATGCTTCGTGTCTGTCTCCTTATTGAAAAATTGGAACTACACTTGCCGTCTTCCATACCTCAGGTAGTCGCCCTGTTTCGATAGATGTGTTGAAGATTGTTGTTAGTGGTACACATAGCACCTCTACTCCCTCTCTCAGGACCCATAGAGAGATGTTATCTGGTCCCATCACCTTTGAGGTATCTAGCTCATTTAGCAGCTTTGAATTTCATGTTGAGCTCCTTATATACTTCGCGGTCATTTCTTGTGACCTTCCCTCCTTCCTTCCTCAGTCTGATTACCTGGTTCTTGACTGTTGTTTTCCTCCTGATGTGGCTGTACAACAGCTTTGGGTCAGATTTGGGTTTTGCTGCTGTGTCATTTTTGTATTGTCGTTGGGCCTCCCCTCTTACCTGTGCATATTCATTTCTGGCTCTGTGACTGCTCTCCTTATTCTCCTGGGTCCTTTGCCTTCTATACTTCTTCCATTCTCTAGCACACTTGGTTTTGGCCTCCCTACACCTTTGGGTAAAACAAGGGCTCATCCTGGCTTTCTCATTATTTCTGTTACCCTTGGGAACAAACCTTTCCTCAACTTCCTTGCATATTGTTGTCACATATTCCATCATCTCGTTTACTGACTTCCCTGCCAGTTCTCTGTCCCACTGATCCCCGTGCAGGAAATTCTTCATGCCTGCATATTCCCCTTTCTTGTAGTTTGGCTTCTTTCATCCAGCCCTTCCTGCTTCCCTCTCCACTTGTAACTCTACTATATACTCTAAGCTGAGAACCATGTGATCACTGGCTCCAAGGGGTCTTTCATATGTGATGTCCTCAATATCTGCACTACTCAAGATGAATACTAGGTCCAGTCTCGCTGGTTCATCCTCTCCTCTCTCTCTGGTAGTGTCTCTTACATGTTGGTACATGAGGTTTTCCAGTACCACCTCCATCATCTTAGCTCTCTATGTTTCTGGGCCCCATGTGGCTCCAGGTTCTCCCAGTCAGTTTCCTTGTGGTTGAAGTCACCCATAATCAGCAGCTTTGCCCTGCTCGCATGAGCCCTTCTGGCCACTTCAGCCAGTATGTCAACCATTACTCTATTACTCTCATCATACTCTTGCGTTGGCCTCCTGCTGTTCTGTGGTGGGCTATACATTACTGCAATTACCACCTTGGGACCTCCAGACTGGAGTGTTCCTAATATGTAATCTCTTGCTTTTCCTCTGTCTCCTCTCTCCAGCTCATCAAAATCCCATCGGTTTTTGATGAGCAGTTCCACTCCACCCCCTCTGTTCCCTCTGATTTTCCTCAGGATCTGATATCCCATTGGAAAGATGGCATTTGTTATCATTTCTGTGAGCTTGGTTTCTGTGAGAGCTATGATGTCCGGCGATGCCTCTTTGACTCTTTCGTACCACTCCTCCCATTTATTCGTTATTCCATCAGTGTTGGTGTGCCATACCTTCAGCTTCCTCTCCAACACTGTTTTGGGGGGTCTATGCAGGTGGGGGACCTGGCAGTGTGCTGTGGGATTCTACAGTGTAGTGTGGGGTGGGGTGGGGGCTGTAAGTGTGGATTGTGGTTTGTGTTGGGATAGCATGTTTGGTTGTGGGGTTCTGGGGGTGGTTCTCTGTGTGCTTGTGCTTGTTGCTCTGCTCTGCTCTGCTCTGGTTGTCCTCTGCTGATTCTGTCCTTGTCTCTCTTCCTAGCCCCTTTTGCTTTTGTGTCCTCTCCCTCAGCTGCTGTCATTCTGTTTTTGTTCTGCCTCGGTCTAGAACACCCTCTTGTATGTTGATTATTCCTTCAGCCATGGTTTCTCTTGCAGGATCTTGTTTTGCACTGTTTCTGTCTTGAAAATTAGCTTGATTGGCCAATTTCTCCCCTTCAAGTACTATTTCAGTCATGTCCTCTTCAACTATTTCTTTGATAATGTTTTCAATTTCTTGTTTTTCTTCCTTCTGTCTTTCATTGTGTGTCCTCCCAATGCTCTCCTGAAGCCCATGAATAAACACTGACTTCTCCCTATCCTCCTCCCATTGCCATTCCCTCTGTCTCTGGTTCCCATTTGTACATGTCCATTTTCTCTCTTATTTATTCCTGTAGCTCTCGGTGGCATAGTCGTGCCTCTGCATGTGACCTATCCCCCTCTCCACCTTCTCCCCCTTCCTTACCACCATCCTTGCTCCCAATTGCTCTCCCTCTTCACTCCTCGGCCCTGCTTGGTAGGCTGATAAGGCCTTAGCGTAAGTTATGTCTCCTTTTCCGTTGGGTGTGTATATA